TTAACTGTTCCTAGGAAACAAGTTACATAGGGTCTCCTAATACAACAACATTCACCGACATGGTTTGGAGAGGATGAAGTGAAAATGATGAGAAGTTCTGTTTACGCGCACCAAGTAAAAGCAAGCCATAACATAGATGCTAATAAAACTTTTAACCTCGCAGGGTTAACTAGTTCACTATCTACTAGCCGGTCCTAAGCCACGATAAAGAGGCAAGTTTGGGAATAGGGCTAGCAACCCTACCCCGTAAAACAAATCCAATCGCTAAAGCACAAGGAAAATATAAAAAATAAAGATAAAATTATCCCTCGCTGGAATCGGAGAGACGAAACAACGCCAGTTGGTGAAAGTCTTCGGGAAACCAATTGGTCGATCTGTCTTCTCTTCACTCGACAAAAGCGATAGTAAGAATGGGGACATGGGATGTCCGCACCATGTATGAACCTAGCAAGGCTGCACAGATTGCAAAAGAAATGAGAAGATATAACATAGAAGTACCAGGAATCGGCGACAGCAGATGGAATGGAAGTGGACTCTCCCAACTGTCAACTGGAGGGTCAATAATCTACTCTCATATTGTCGCCCAGACGACAACCACGAGCACAATGAGTTATGGAGTGGCTATCATGATGTCCCCAACAGCATCGAAGGCTCTCTCTCATGCAGTGGGAACTAATCTCCTCCTGCAGCATCAGGATCATGACAGCAAGATTCAACTCAAAAGGAAGGAGAGTCACAATCATACAACGCTATGCTACGCACCCACAAATAATTGAGCAGATGAAGAGAAGAAGAAGGAATTCTACAGACAACTGCAATCACCACTGGACATGACCTCATCCCAGTTGGCGACATCAAAACACATTCTAATGGGTGACATGTTTTAACGCCAAACTGGAAGCAGGCAAAACAGGAAGAGAACTCATCATGGGTCGAGAGGCACTCGGTGAAATGAACGAGAATGGAGAACTGTTTGCAGACTTCTGCGCATTCAACGATTTGGTGATTGGAGGCGAGGCACTGTGTACAAACACAAGGATATTCACAAGGCAGCGACATGGGTTTCACCAGACACCAGGACACACTGAAAATCAAGTCTACCTCATCTCAATCTGAAGAAGGTGGAGATGCACTCAGCCTACTGGACACAAGATCAGATCAAGAAGGGGAGCAGATGTAGGTTCACACCACTCACTAGTGCATCTAGTGCAAGGAATCTACCTCCAAAATCAAGTTGAAAGCCTTCAAAGAAGTTGGTGACAGACGACCACAGTTGAAATTCAACACCCAGAAGAGAAAGTGAACTGAAGGGTGAAACTACGAAGGACATTAACACGTCAGCCAGCCATCAGGAAAAAATGGGAGACATTAAGCAATATCTCCGAGGAAACCTGCGTGCAAGAACACTGGCACTCTTTGAAAGCTATGTGGAAGGAAACCTGCATAACCGTGTTAGGGAGGAAGAAGAAGGGACGAGACAAGGAATGGATCTCGACAGACACCAGGAAGCTGATAGAGGAGGGAGAGGAAGATGGTGATGGTGAAGCAGAAGATGAACCCGTGTACTGCAATTCAGGGATGAACAACGAAAAGAGGGGGTGAACACAACCCATAAAACACTACACTGGACAAAGAGGTGAAGAAGAGTGCGCGCAAAGATAAAAGACACTTCTACGACACACTGGCAAGTGAACCAGAACAGGTTACAGGTAGGAGAGATACAGACCTGACAAAATTATATCAAATAACCAGGTTACTATCTAGGAGAGAAGAGATCAACCCAGATGAAACCAATGAGAGTGATGGGAACCTAATTACCGAAGAGGAGAAACAACGGAAATGATCGGCTGACCAACTCAGAAAACTCTCGAATCGACCACCACCTGCAACTTCTCCAGAAATACCACCAGCAAACCAGACACAGAATTACCAGTGAACACAAGCCCTCCGACAAAAGCAGAAGTGAAGTCCTGGACTCCATAAAGTCGCTGAAATCTAATTTCCCTATAACTGTCACAAGAAGGTTTCTCTCCATTCTTATAGACTGACATGATCAGTGAAGTACACCATTTCGCATACACTACCTGATTCCCACACGCTATCTAGTACCTCAATTAATAATTTCCTACCTCTATCTTTGAACGCCATGAACTTGCTGAAATCCGGGAAAGCAGCAAGACCAGATGGAATTCCTCCAGAAGCACTGAATACAGACACACAGACAACAGCGGACATGCTCACACCACCATTGCAGAAGGTTTGAAGGGAAGGGAGGAAATGTACCTACCGGTTGATTGGAAGAAGGGCCACCTTGTCGAATTCCCAAAGAAAGGAGATCTAAGTCTTTGCAGGAACTGACGCGGAATCATGCTTCTGTTCCTGTCCATCCAAAGCAAGCAGAATATTAGGCCGCATGATCCTGGAGAGACTAAAAGATGCTACGCATTCAAAATTACGACTGGAACAGGCTGGCTGGCTGGCTTCAGGAAGAACAAATCATGTGCGGACCAAATTCCAAAGCCACGCCACGCATCATCATAGAACAGAGTGTAGAATGGCAGTCAACCCAAATCTACCTGAACTTCATCGATTTTGAAAAGGCCTTCGACAGTGTCGACTGAGAAGTAATTTGACAGCTGCTTCAATACTACGGTTTTAGCTCCACAAACCTTTATCAACCTCATTCAACAGCAGCTACATGATGAGATGATGCCACATGCCAAGTGATTCACAATGGAAAGCTCAGTGACGCCTTTGAAGTGAAGACAGGTTGGTAGGTAAGACAAGACTGCCGCCTACTATCACAGATGATCTTCCTGACTGTGGTCGACTGGACTGGACTGGATCATGTGGCGAACCGTGAGGAGCTGTGAGAAGAGGGGTATACGCTGGCTGGACCAATGGAAAGGCCCCTGAAGAAGATTTGGATCTCGCCGGTGACGATTTATGACTAGTGTCGCACAAGCTCGAAGATCTACAGGCGAAAACCAACAGGTTGACAGAAGAGGCAGGGCAGGGTAGGGCAGCGAGGATGGGACTTCTTTCAGGTGAACGTAGAGAAGACAGAGGTGGTGAAGATACCCAACCAACAACAGAATCAACAACAAGCACCAATCACCATCAACAGAAGAAATCTAAAGGAAGTAGTCTCTTTCACCTACATACCTAGGCAGCATCGTTTCAACTACAGGTGGCGGCAGCGGCGGCACAGATGAGGATGTCAAAGCTGGTCGGGATCGGAAAGACAGCAAGACAGGCATTCATTATTCTGAAAGCAGTGTGGAGATCTACTGCACTCCACTTCACTCAGTATAAAGTGTTAACAAGATCCGGATTTTCAAGACTGACTCGGTCAAGCAAGTCAGTGCTTCTATGTGATGGTTGAGAGACTTGGCGCGTTACGAAAAGCATTTCCAACAAACTACAGACATTCATCAACAGCTGCCGCCTACACTCACTAGATGCTGAAGATCAGATCAGATCAGATGGGCAGAAAGAATAAGCAAGAAGGAACTCTGGCTGGTTGGCTGGCTGTCAACGAACCATCCAGGAACCCATCGCCCAACAAATATGCAGAAGAAAGTGGAGATGGATTGGATTTGGCATACACTGAGAAGACCGATTGGGGACATCATGCACCAGGTCAGGTCGTCGAGTGGAGCCCTCATGGGTAACGACGAATTAAGCGTCCGAGGCAAGAGTAACATGGAGGAGATGATGTGAGGAAGAAACGAAAAGTTGTGGGCAGTCGTGGAGCCAGGTTGAAAAGACTGCAGAGAATGGAGTGAAATGGAGACGTGCTACTGAAGCCCTATATTCCACGAGGAACCCAAGAGACAAATAATAATGAAGCTTTTAGTGTCATACATCGTATAGCGGAAACAATACCACGTACAGATCGCCGACGCCTGTTCTACATAACTGAGACAATCACAATAAGGTTGGAGAAACCTGAACTGTGCATTCCGACGGGTCATGTTCAAACGTTATTCCGTAGTCGGCCTTCAGTAAACCAAAGTCCATTCCTGTCTTCTTTATTTGTTGTCTTTTGCTTAACAATCACGCCATATGCATATTTTAATATTGATAAATCTAAGAAACAGAATCGATTTCCTTGAGGTCTCTAAGTCTCTTATTTAACTATAAGAATGTTTTCTCCGGCTTTCTTACATGCTGTACACTTGGATTCTGTTATTGTAGAACCTGATGAAAATTTATTGAAAAGAATATTCTTCGGTCAGACTGTTGCTTTTAATTAATGTTATGGTAATCTCTAAACGTTTAAAATATTACGGACAAAGGCGTGAAACATCAATGAGACAAAATATCCGAGTCACATAGCTTTAGTAACCTATCACGAATCCTTTTTGTTTCTAACTAGCTTCCTACTCTGAATCTTCCAGATTGTTGGAGCAACGTCGCAAACACTTACAGGAGTTTCTCTTGGTTTACCGACAGTAAAAGATTTCCGTGAAGCAGGATGGAACAGTGTGAATGAAGCTGATAGGAACCACATTGATTGACCATATTTTATGCTATCCATTCTTATTACGATCACTTACGTCATAACATCCACTATTGTTTGACATCTTTCAGTCTTCTGTTTTTAACATGAAAGGTATTCATACAATATTTACGTACATATGAATGTTGACAAAAAGACTGTCTTGACATTATCTGAACATAAAATAATGAGACTCTTTTTCATAGGCCAAAACGAGTCACTGGTTGCGATGTTTTTCACTTCAAGCGAATATCAGAGCTTAAAAACAAAGTAATGTTGATGAACATGAGAGAAATTCATAATCCCCATTGTGACTTCCAAAGTCCTCTTTGCTTAATATCTTGTTTTGGATGTGACAAATTTGCACGAAACTTCAGCATGGTGCCAACAATCTTGCCAGGAATCGTACCTGTTACGTAGGTGCTTATCAAAAGATCTCCACTAAATGAAATTGTTTTCACTTCTGTCTACGCGCTGTTACACAAAAAATTTCAACCAAGAGCATCCAACTATATATTAACTAAATTCAGTTTATTATTTACAAATCATTTTTATATTGTTCAGTACGTTCGATAACCATGTCGTCTTCTGGCGGTTTTCTCGTAATTCGGATTCCGGATTTCACCGAACTCACACTGAACGGCATCAGGTAGTGAACACGGTGGGACCCAACCATCCTCTTTAAGGCTGGCAAAACATTTTATGATATCGGAGTCTTTGTTTGCTATTTTCTAAAAAATAAATCAGTGAACTACATCATAAGGTTATGCGTCACTTACCTTCATCTGCGTGATGGAATCATATGGTGCATTGAAATTAATGAGGAAATAGTGGCCTTCATATTGCCTTTCGCCTTGAACATGGAAAACATTTGGTAGTCGTCGCAGACCGAGATTTTCAACGTGGAATAAGTGAGCACCATTTTCAAGCATACCTTTCAGATGTCTTTTCAGAGCTACTTTTATACCAGGGGTACCAAGAGCCTTAATAATTAGAGACATTTCATATCGTATCACGTTTGACATCTGAAAAATAAATAAGTATTGTTGACTTCTATCCAACTCATCCACTCAAATTTGAATAGTACTAAGGTAAGTTGCTTTATATACTTTATTAAGAACATTTGCGTCTAGTGAGAGAGTATTGTCTACCCCAATCAGTGTACTAGTACAGTCAATCTAACCATTACCTAACAGAACTATACTGCCGAACCCAGCCAATGAATATCGTGATTTTTCCCTAGTGTCAATCGTGAATGAAATCAGAACACATAATTGTCGAATTAGTTTGCATTTACTGTAAAGTCCACTTCACTTTTGCTGAGGAGGATCAATCAATGACAAATGAAGTGTGCATTCTAAACATTCTTTTTTAGTGAATTTCACATTAGAAGGAGCCATCCATGTACTTTTATTTCTGCTTTTCATTATCTGGGCATACTGAAGCAACACAGGACTCAGAATAAATGCGACACTACCATATTAAACAAAAGCTGTATGACATAGACATCAAGATATGCGCCACACAGTGTTATTCACCACCCTGGCAGAAGTTTCTGCATCAAGCAGTGTGAAGAATTGTGACGCTATCTAACTGCTCAGGACAAACTAAGTCCGAAAGTGTGAACTCAAGACGTGATGTTTGAGAGCAGAGCCCATAAAAGAATGAATTACAACTCTGTGCAACACCGTATGTAGTCCCCCAAAAAGAATACCTACAATATCCTAGATTGAGGTTGCGCAAAATATTTTCATAACCAGAAGTTTAGGAGAAAAATATCAACAAAAAGCACTTTTAGTGGACATCAGTCCATGTACTTATGTCTATAAAATAATGAATGATTATAAGTATCTTAGTAAAGAGCCTTTTGTGAAAAGATATATTTTGTCAGATACCTCTTTCTATGAAACACTGCTGCAATCATCTTAGAACAGTGAAGTTAAATTCATTACTAGGTCAAGATATCTTTGATACGGATCTGGTTGATACACTGATGGGCATATCTCATTATCCCATGTTTGCTGCCCTTGAGCATCGTCAGTTACAGACTTAAAAGCTAAATTGTGTTCACTCATGTCGCTTAGAGCATGATAGATTACATTCCTGTGCGTAATTTTCCACTACATTTTTTTAAATTAACTTGAAATAGTAACTAATTTAACTTGCAAGCCATGTAAATTTCATAATCAAGGTCGAGTATTTTCGTCAGAATGATGGCACACAGAAAAGACTACGTGATGAGATCAAGTTGTTAATTGAAACATGTTCAAATAACTACCCACCGAAGGTTGTTAGTCAAAAAAAGATAGTTGGAGCAACAAGATTTACCATACCCTCTATATGGATTAAAGATATGATTGTCAATCAACATAATCATTGGGGAGAAGCTTAGGGCTGCTGATAAGACCACCTATGTAACAAAGATATGTTGGTGTAAAACACCAGACCTGTATGCTCTTTAACACCCCTGAAACCTGTGGACAGTAACGTTACACCCATTATAGACTAGAATCGACGCATTGTGGTGGAGTATAGTTAGGCTATATTTCATTTTTTTATGCATCGAAGTGAAACAGAATTATTTTTTGACGACGTCTCAAGAAAATTTAGTGCTTAAAAAATATGATAATCAAACAATTTTATATTTTAGTTTTAATCCTTCTACTGTTTATCATTTTTGAGTTTAATAGATAGTAAGACTCTCTACATCTATCTATCCATCTAAACCAACATAAGACCAGGCACTGCTGAGTAACGGTTTGAGTTGCCACACCTTACATCAATGAAATGGAAGATGAAAAGAAAATTCAGTCAAAAGAATTATGAAGTACTAAAAGAGAGGAAGGAAGAATGAGAAAATGGTGAGATTCGGTATAGCGTCGTTAAGATGAGGATGTGTGTATACATCTGCGCCACTGATATCCGTTCTCAGTCATATCACCTAGAGTCTCCAACCGCTGGTTCCTCTTGTCCCGCGGACCGCAACCGTCTAGTCTGCATCGCCCCACATGGCTCAAACTAACCGTCAAAGACTTCATACATTAGTGCCATGTTTTAGTCTGGCCACCTCAGGCCTTTTTCCAGCCTGAATCTACTTCGGCCAATATTGCGTGACCAGGCAATCGGTGACTAGGCATATGTAACACATGTACCAACCATCTCAGCCGATGAAGGTTCACAGCCTCGCTAACTGACTTACCTCTTCTGCCTAATACTCTACGCCTGACGTTTGCGTTACGTGGTGACACCACGGAATAAGGCCTATACTACGAAGGCAACGGTGGTCAAACACCCGAAGCCTTCTCATGCATTCCACCTTCAATGGCCATGTTTTACAGGCATATAGTAGAACAGAGCGAACTGCAGTGCAGTACACGCAACCCTTAATAGACAAACTGATATCACGGCGGCGCCATAGGCAGCGTGAATTGACGAAAGCCAATGGAGCCCTTTGTATCCGTGCAGAAATTTCATTGGCAACTAACCCACCAGGGCTGATCCTACTTCCCAGGTAAGTGAAGTGGTCGACACACTCAACCACTACACTCTATTGTTAGCCAAGGCACCGCTGAAGACCAATCCTGGAGCAATAATTTGGATTTGGGCGATGAGAAACGCATCCTAAGTATTCCTAAATTGCCATTCAAAGTGTCTCCACATACGGAATATGTTGTCCCATTCCTCTTACATGTGTCAGGCATCAACTTTATGAACAGTTTCAATTATCAGACACTCTAAATACCCAAGTTATGTTTTAGAACCACCACCCCACTCCACCATATCGTGTGACTGCGTAAAAGCATACACGGCTACTACCGTGCTATTTTCTAGATTTAGTGTCCTCTTAGAGGCCAGTTCTATATTTTGCTAGGTTTCCGTTCTGTTAATTTACCCGATACCAGGTTGGCTAATTTGACTTCACAGCCAACATAGAATTTACCAGACTAAATCATTTTCTTTAGTAGGTTCGATAGGATTCTATCACCGAAAAGTTTTTTCTGAGTTTGTAGGCTGGGACGCTACTTTAACCCCGATCTCCTTAAAAAGCCTATATAGGGCCTCTTGTGTACCTGCCTTATGAGGAAAACATTTTTCGCAGATTTACTATTACTAGTATTTGTTTGTAATCGTATTACAAGCAGCACCTTTTCTGGAAAAACTCATGCGGATTATTTTTTCAGTTGACATAGTATCCACGCCGTGTTACTGAAGTATTTCACTAAGCTTATCTTAACTGACATCGAACAAGATGATAAGGAGTTCAACCATCTATTAGTATGAGGGCTTTATATAGATAATAGTATTTCCAATATCCAATATCTTTTTAACGAGCTTGTGTAAACCAATTGATTTCTTCGCGCTCGCTTCTTGGTCTTGCGGAACGGTTCCAGATCTTTGGCGGATTCCGATGCAGTAGGTCCAGCCACTCGTCTGCTATAGCTCTGATTTACAGAACAGGAAGTTAAGTGTTGGTTTGTTTGCCTTGGACTGTGGTGCAGTTGGCTTCTTCAGATGTCGAGTTGCCAGACAGTTGTTAGGACTGGTCGCTAGAGAGGGTTGGGGATAGTGAAGAGAAAACCTAGAAAGTGTTTGTGTGGGTAAAAGAAGAGAGGAAAAGTGAACTAATGGAGTAATCTACTTACACCCAAGTAAGGTGAGTAGGGGTGCAAAGGTATGAAGAACTTAGGTAAGTGAGGCTAACTTATGGCAAGTGGAAGGGGTGAAAAGGGCTTAAATGGTTACAATAGAAAGAAAACTGGTTGGGGTGGCTTGACATCACTTCGTGTTCCAGCTATGCGTGGGTAGACCGTGAGTCTCTGCATGACTGTCCAGCCTCTTCTTGAAGCTTTCAACAGTTGGGGCGGAGACCACCTCTGCTGGTAGTGCGTTCCAGTACCCACAGACTCGGAGGGAGAAGAACTGTGAACGCACATGCGTTTTTGACCTCTGGTGTGCTATTCTATTGGGGTTTCCTCGAGGATCTCCGTAGTGGCCACTCGGTAGGACTCCTCTGTTTGGGTGACTTGGGTTACTCATTATTTTGTAAGCCATTATTAAGTCGCCACGTATCCTTCGATAGCTAAGGGAGTATAGACCTAGGTCTTTGAGTCTATCCTCATATGGTTTTTGTTGCATTCCAACAACCCCTTTTGTGGCTCGCCTCTGGACTTTCTCCAGTAAGTTCGCGCCTCTTTTCAGCTGTGTTGGAGCGAAGACGTTATGGACCTCTAAGTGGGGCCGCATGTAAGTCTTGTAGAGCTTCAGAAAGAGTTCTGGGGTGAGGGCACCCAGTTGTCTACGCACAAAGTGTAGTACCCCATATGCTTTTGAGACATCACCTGGGTAATTGGAACTGGTGTCCAGTTTCTCCGTCACCGTTAGACCCAGGTCTTTTTCTACTGTGGTATGGGATAGACGTGAACCACAGAGATAGTAGGATGTTTTCTGGGGATCAGGAGTGCGGAAAAACATGGACCGGCACTTATCCAGATTAAATGCCAGTTCGTTATTAGTTCCCCATTCCTCTAGTGTTCTGAGGTCCTTCTGTAATGCCATAGATTCCGCCTCGCAAGTTATTGCCCTCCATAACTTGACATCATCAGCGTATAGGAGAATCGGGGAGCTGATATGTTGCGGCAAGTCATTTACGAACAGTAGGAACAACAGTGGCCCAAGATTGCTCCTTGTGAGACACCGGATGAGGATGTTCTCCAAGTTGAGTAGACCCTGTTGACTTTCGTGCAGAACTCCCTGTTGTCTAAGTAGTTCTGCAGCCACGATAGCACCTGGCTGCGAATACCTAACCCAGCTATCTTATGTATTAGGATATGGTGTGAGACGGTGTCAAAGGCTTTGGCGAAGTCCAGAAAAATTACGTGGACAGGGACCTTGAGATCCCAGCATGCTGTCCAGTGATCATGGGCCGTCAGGAGATTGGAGGCACAGGACCTACCCTTCCGGAAGCCATGTTGAGCGTCACTGAGTGCCCGCTTGGTGTCCAGATATTCCCTGATACGGTCGTCCATCACACTTTCCATTACTTTTGATATTACTGGTAGAAGTGCTATGGGTCTATAACAGTTGGGATTCTGTCTGTCTCCTCCTTTGAAGATGGGAGAAAGGATAGCCCGTTTCCACTCTCGTGGGAGCTTTCGCTCATCCAAGGAGTGTTGGAAGAGGTTGCAGAGTGGGCCACTTAGGGTACTTGCACATTCTTTCAACACAAATGGGCGAATGTCGTCGCACCCTGGGGATTTTCCCGCGCTTAACTTTAAAAGCTTGTCGAGAACAACAGCGCGGGTTATCTGTATTTCGTGTAACTCAGTAGCATCGGGTAACGTTGGGGCTGTTCGTGCAATTGGTATGCGCACTTTCTTGATGGAATGTTGAGCTGTGTGTCAAATGTGGTGCTCAGCATTTCAGCAATCTCCTGTCCAGAGAGGTTTTCTCCGTTCGGACCTTTTATGACACATGCTCTTTGGCTTGTCGATTTTCTTTTTGCCATGAATCGGTAAAGGTTTTTAGGGTTTACCTGAAGCCTTTCGGCGAGGTTGGACTGGAACGACCTCCTGTCTCCCCGCACCCTTATGTTGCTTCGATTCCGCAGAGTCATGTATGCGTCATGGTCGTCCTGTTCTCTGGAGAGTCTCCATGTGTGCCATGCCCTTCTCTTGGCTTTTAGAAGGCGCTCAGTGCCCCGTTTTAGCCATGACGTTCGCTTCCTGGTTGCGGCCGCCTTAATGATATCTTTTACCAGTTCCCAGTGCTGGTCGATCGACAAGGAACACCAATCCACTGGCCACGAAGCTGTTGAAAGGCTCTTGTTCATACCTTCGTAATTTGCCTTGTTGTAACATAGGTAAGGGCGAGGTCCCTCCCATGATAGCTCTTCACTAAATACCAGGTCGAACGTTACCGTAGCGTGATCGCTACTTCCAAGAGGGGTTTGTACCTGAACGTTTTCAACCAGAAAGGGATCAGTAGTCAGTAGGTAATCCAGTTAAGATGGTTTACCATCTGACCCCCAGCGGGTGTTTTCGCTGATTTTTTCCTGCAGTCCAGCCATTTGGATGGCGTTTAGCAGGTTACAGTCGAACTTCCGGCTCGGGGTAGTGCCACCTTGCTCTAGGCTGAGGGTTGGAGCGTTGAAGTCGCCAGCTATTAAAATCTGGTCGTACCTTATAGTTGACACTGTGGATATTGCTTGGAGTAGTTTTTGGTTGTGTTCCAGGTTGCTATTAGGGGACCTATAGATTCCTCCAACTAGGAATTTGGTGTTTGACCGTGAAGTGGCACCAGATAGAGTCTGGGAGCTCTGTCAGTGCCGTGTCAGTGGTTTGTTCACTTCTGAACCACTTGTTCACGTATATTGCAACCTCCCCTCCCTGTCTCTGTCTCTGCTGAACAGAATCATATCATCTATGTTAACTTCGGTGTCAATTATGTCTGGTGACAACCACGTTTCTGTCAGGATCATGAGTTTCGGGGCGAGGTCGAGACAGAGGGATCGGAGCTCTGGCATTTTACTTCGGAGTCCTTTCACGTTGGTGTAGAGACACTTGGATGTGTTTCTCGTAACGTGAGATGTCTCTGAGTTAACTAGTGGCACTGGTTTGGATGTGGGGGTTTCTACTGACTGGCCAGTTCCAGTGGAACTGGCCCAGTTAAGTTTTTTCCCTCGTCGACTGGTGCATTCGGTGTTGAGTGGAGGTTTCTGGTCTGACTCTCAACATTTCGGTTTAGGGTTACGGTGGCCTGAGCACAGGGCGTAACTGCTGTCTGTTGTTGTCGCAGTGTTCTCGGTCTGCTTTCACAGCAGCGAACGTTACCGCTTATGGTGCTCTTAACTTTGTACCACGTCTCCAGCACTCTGGTGAGTACTTCTGGGGATACGAAGTTGCCAGCCATTAGTCTAGGTGAGGTCATGGTTATCAGATGCAGGGGGCGTGGTAGTCTGCTACGCAGCTGCAACCCCGCTCAGCTCCATCCGAGCCGATAACCACTCCTATTGTTTCACCTGGGGTACCGGTCACCATTTCAGGTATTCCATGTACGACCATGGTTATGGGTTTTAGTGGACCAGCTGCTTCTCGAGATGTCTTTCTTGACACCCATGATCGGTCAGGTCTGGCTCTAATGTTGGACGATCTGTTGATGACCAGCGTCTCTAGTTGAGACTAGAGTCACTCTCATCGGCGGAGGCTTCCTTGCGGGTGAGTGGGTGCCTTTGTATAGTCGACACAGTTTTGCCTCGAGAACGCCCAGACCTAGCGTGGCACAGAGGGAGTCCCACTGCTGCCTGTCAAACTTGTCCTTATGTTCCAGAAGGCTATCATCACAGACGGGAACGTTAAACAGAATGACAGAGCTAGGTCGGTCAGTGATGCCAATATTATTCTATCCTATAGATGCTTTTCACGGGTGCTTCGAGTTTTTTTCCACCCTGACTCATTCTCTATGTTGTCCACTGGTTGCTGTTTCTGATGTGACTGTATGGCTTGAGGTGGATGCAGTTGTCGTTGGTGTAGGCAGTGTTTTGTTCGGCTTAGAACCTCTCAGGTTTTCGGCCTTCAGTAGGCCATTGCCAAAATCATCTGGAGAGTGAATATCCTCTGTGACAGTGGTTTGGACGGATACCTGCTTTTTGATTACTGGAGATTTATCGGTTACTCTGAGTAAGCCTGAAGCTAGGTGCGGTCTCAGACGGCACTGTGGGCAAATGTACCAAAACCACGTGCACGGGTGACGCGTCATAAAGCTATAGTACTGATGTAGCACTTCTTTGTCACATCGGCAGTGCACCCATCTGTTGCACTCGAAGGCAGCATCACTTTTAGTGACAGTGAGAGCACATGTTTGGCAGTTGTCATCATGTCCATGCGGTTTTCCCAAACGTTTATGCCCTACTCTTTGACGTTTCTGCCTAGTGGTTCTCACTGGGGGATCGGGGTGGGCGCAGAGAGTAGCATGGGGCTCTCGGTTTACTTGACTGGGTAAAGTGACGCTTACAGTGCCGGGAGGACTGGCTGCACGGCTAACTTCAAGTGTTGCAAGCTGTGACCGACCGAGAGAGGTGGACTTGGGTGGTGCGTTCGTATCCTCAGTTGCTTTCTTTGCCACGCTTTGGCGTCTCGTAGCTCCAGCCCTAGTAACTACTGAGAATCAGGTGGTCAGTAACTGTGGCGAGATTGTACTCAAAGCATTTCTACCGCTTGCCTTTATCGGGGTCAGCACACTTTTACCACGCATATTAATATTAATAAACAGATGAAGATAAAAGGAGTAGAGCAATGAAAATGCACAGTAGTAAACAGAAGACTTTCGACCTTACCTTCAATTGTCTGTTCCTGCGACTCTGTCGAAGTTCAACAACTACCAAGTCCTGGACGTAGATGTTGGTGAGATATATTTTGCTGCAGATACAGCAATCTGAGCTATAACAGTTGGTCGAGACAGCTAGACCTACCACACAGTTGTCCGTTTGGAGCGTAATAGTGGTGATGAAGTAAGCAGTGATATTTTCTGCAGCAAAATTGTTGCAGAAACGTTGAATGAGGAGTTGAAAGCTCCTAGTGGATAGTTGTGAATGTGGATTTTGTCGAGATGGATGGGGACGAGCTAAAACAAGTCACTATTCAAGGAGCGCGCCAAGGTTGAGATATAATCAGTTATCCTATCAAACTAATGGCGTATGATACTTGCCGCATCCCTTGAACAAGAAGTGACATTCGATTATGCCAACAAAGAGGTGTTGTGCCAATATTTGTCTAAGGAGAGTGCTGAACAAGTATATCATGGTAATAAAGGCTCTGTACCACACTTTACCGACAAACTGAAAGCTACCAAACATAAGTGGAAGATTAATTATAAAAAACTTTCTGACCTCGACGAGAAAAGCACTCCACACTCGGAACCTCAATACCTCAACCAATCCAGACGGATAATGACCTGCAGGTATAAGAAAACTGCAAGTAATGAGAACGGTGCTGAAGGCCATCATATACAATATACGATGTCTGTCTATGAGCTTTTGTGAGCCAGCTGATATCTCCACACTCACTTCTAGGTCTTGTGGGACAGGCTCTGAGCTAATCCTATGTAACTGATCCACCACCCCGCCCACTCCAGTCTGGTAAAAAAGACGGGTGTTAGGGTTTTGGTTAAGTTTGTCGGGAGTCGTGAAGTTTCCCCCCAGGACTGCAGTGCTGGTGGGTTCCTCAAATGTCATATCCCCAGAAATTTGGTTAGACTGGTTTAGAAGAAAGATTGTGAGGGTGAAACGATATTAGGAAGAACAAGGGAAACAAGACGAGAGGAACGAAAGTGGACAAAGTAAAATGAAAGTAAAGGAGAAACCAGTGTAGATTCGAGGGGGATGGGGAAGAAAGCACCGATGTGAAGAACCTAATGAACAGGGTGAAACCGTAGAAAGTCACTGTGAAGAAACGAAACATGCAGAATTGTGGCAGGGATAATGAAGATGAAGATGACTGTATCGATTGTGATATAGTAATTGGAGAGTCAATACGTCTAACAGCAAGGATGAGTTGAGCCTTTGATAATATTGGTTGTGCTAGGGGATCGAAATGGAGGTAACTGTTGGGACGATGCGAAATCGATGGGTCGTTTCGGCCTAACCCAGAGCGCAAGTCATGTGTCGCTGCTTACCTGCTGAAATTTATCTGGGGAATGTCGACAGGAGTAGTGGCAACCCCGAAAGATGATACAGCCGAGTGGTCAAAAACTTGAATAGGTAAGAGGCGTGGATGTACGTGGTTGTTCTTTCGTTGATGGATGCTTCTCTTCGAGTCTCCATGAGGACTGCCATGGTTACCGGTTAGTAAAATTGCAATGCATGGGTCACTTTGCATGTTGCAGGTAGTCATTAAGTGGCCACCTGACCTACAACGAATAACACAGCAAGGACCTGGTTCCTTTGGCCTGTTATGATATGACTTTTGACTTATCTCCACAAAACTTTTCATGGTTCTCCTCTGGACTTTTACCGGGGTTTCACATCTCTGCAGGAGTGGTGGCAAGCGACTGTGCGAAACCCCAGGCGAGGTCACGAATATATTTTATATATATATATATATATATATATATATATATATATATATATATATATATTAAAGCCTCGGCCAGGTTGAAGAGTGAGGGAACATAGTCTTCAGCGTATGAAGTGAGGCACTACGTAAGCTCTAGAGGCGTCGCCTGGGTAACTGGAGTTAGTGTCTGGTTTGTTGAAGAGTATTGATCCGCACGATCGTGCGAGAGAGGTGTGTATTACAGGGGGGAAGAGAGGGAGACAGCACAATATTGTCTGCACGCCCGACATGTGGAAAATCACAGTTCTGTCGATTGCAATCCGTTGCTCTTCACCTAGCCTTTTAAAGTCTTCAAGTCACCCCCTCTCCGATGTCAGGGACCTAAGACTGGATGAAACGTCATTCTCAAAGGCGGAAGCCTCAATAGACCCAGAATCTGTCTTTCTGAAACACTGGGCTATGACAACCTCCAAGTTGGGCAAACTCTGTTAGCTTTCATGCAGAACTCTCCACCGCTTAGATAGCCCTTCAGATGAAACGGCACGCAGCGGCTGATACTCAACCTCCTCACTCTGCGCTGAAGAGTGACATATGAGACCGCTGGCAAAATCCTAGAAAAGTCCATGAACAGGAACTTTAACAGGACTGGTAGTAGTGCCAAAAGTCGGCAGTACTTCTGGTACTAGCTGTCTTCCTCTATGGAGACGAGGGGGGGGAAATCGCATTTTCCACTCCAACGAGATCTAATCCTCATCGTAGGAGTGTTCAAAAATGTTGCAGAGTGGAAAAAAGAGGGTACACACACATTATTTCGACTGCCCAAGTGAAAAACGGTCCCAGGACCTTAAGAAAATTTGTACGTGCAAACTAAAAACAATATACATTTTGTCGTTTTAGAGCTTTGATTGGTTGCATCCGTGCCCAGGAGACAAGTACTTAGGCGTTGACAAATGCATTCAAGGTACAAAACATAAGCTGCACCTTTTCCAACGCAAACTGTTCTCCCATCGAACTCAATGACTAGTGCAAACCATCTGGCTGGAATAGTGATGCTCATCTCATCAGCGTTACTGGGACTTGGGTGCCACCTCAAATAACACTGTTTCACAACGATGCAGGCCTCGATAGTGGTGATAGGGTAGTCTTACACCCTGTATCTTTCATTCAGTTGACTGAAATTCAAACTTCTGGATTTTACTGCCCTCGGAGTTTGAAAGGCTTTTTGAAACTGCTAACAGATTACTGGGATTCGTCAATGAGAAGACGTTGACTGACCGCTAGAACGCCGAGCAATCTGCATGCGATTAGTGGTTTGCTCTTCTAACACTTGTGTAACTTTTAATCTTCAGGCCACTCCCTTCTTCCCAAGGCGAACATCATAGAGCGTACGCATAAAAGAAGCGACGAACACCTTGAAAACCAATTCTTCAACCTTGTTCAGGAACTGCGATCAGCAGGAAGTGTGAGACCAGCAACGCCTTGGATAGATGCCGAAATCCTAACTCTCCAAGGCTGCACCGTCAAGGAAAAAATGGATGCCTTAACAATGCTTCCCCCCTGGACATGCATTTATCGGCTCCCAGTTTGTTCGCGAAATTAAACTAACCGTACTGTCCAACTACGGTAGTTGAAGCTTCTGATTAATGGGCATCTGTGCCTTTCAGAGGAGCGGATGGACTAGCGGTCATATCCCGTCTTGGTAGATGTGGACGTCTTTTGGAGGTTTGCACTTAACAGAGTAGTACGTACCGCCAGCCTGCCCGATACACTGTACACCATGAAGTTCCTCCAGTCAGCTACAATAACAAGCAACTCTCCTCGTTAGCTTTCAAACCAAGCGGCCACCACTAGATCGAACACAAAAAACAGTATTCAAAACACATGCACAGGCCTGAAGCACGTAGTTGAAGCCACTGAAAGAAGACTGGCACTGGCACCGAAATGGACTCAAAAGTACCCATTTTTAATCCATGAAGTTGCTTCTGCTATGCTGCGCTGCAACAACAGGTCAGCAGATGCCTTTATATGAGTGAATCCCAATAATCCGTCGGCGATTTTAAAATTTCACACGGAATGCCGCATAATGATAGCAACAATGATAATTTATTCTTGTAGGTACAAGCACGCACTACTTTGCAGGCATGATCTGACATGTAAGTTGATTTGGCAATTCTGTCGGACACAGCTTCCTTTCCCGAAGATATACAGCAGGTCTAATCAGGCAGAATTAATGTATGGAATATAATAAGAGAATGGACGGTTGATATTTCTGCACACGTCAGTTTCTTACAAGGATGAACCCATCTGTATTTCCTCCAAAGAGAGGAATGCGGGACAAATATTGAACGTGTTAATAAAAGTAATTCACTTTCAACTCGGAAAAAGATGATAACATGCTCACCATATGATTTAGCAATACCAAAACCTGCCGATTAATTGTATCTTGTGGGCCCGAAGCAGCAAAACATCTTTATCACATGAGCGAGTTGATTCAACTTTATAATAAGCAGAAATTCATTGAACTGTACTCGTGGGACAATAAACGAATATGAACTCGAAGTGATAAGAATCAACAGGCAGTAAAGCGTGAGAATTTCACCACTCGCTGTAGGGAGTGGCAAGCGATTGCAAGAAACACCCAAAGCAAAGTATGAGCATTGACACCGTAGAACATGTAAAATATGAGTATCCTTCGGGATAAAGAAATCAAAAGAAGCACAGTAGCAACCATTTCACTGCATGAAAGCATGTTGGGTGTGTTATCACTAGTCAGCATGCTGTCACGGTTTGCATATTAGTTTTTGAGCATATACCTCCGCGCTTTGGATAAAAATAATAGCCTCGATGAAGTCCTGGAGTGAAGTATTCCCTGTGTGCCTGGTGATTTGGTTCTGGTGAAGGAAATGTGGCTTTTTTGCGGTAGCTCAAATGGGTGGGACACCATTTTCACCATGCCTGATTCCACAGCAGCATCTGCAAAGGGGAAGAGGAAACCGAAGAAGAGAGAACACAGCCACAGAAACCCAGAAGAATTCGGTGAAAGTGCCTTATAAAAACTGGTAGTAGCAACCGACAGAGTTTCGTTGGTAGCTTCTGTCACTGAGGGTAATAACTGTAATCATTTTGTTAGTCAACCATGCCATTATTCGAATCGCAGTGACAATTTTAGGCAATGCTTTTGTACATTAGCCCTCAGTCTTAGTTCGATTCGATATAGAAGTGCCAGTGTGAAACTTCTGGGTAGCATGGCGAAACAGCTGTTCATGGACATTCCAGAATAGTAGCTTCTGTATTACAAGGCTCAAATTATATTCTAACTGGATGTGAGCAGAAAAGATGCAAGGATAGAATGAAGTGGCCCAGGTCTTGTGGTGGTTGGAAGGGTGAAAATAGGTGAGAGAGCATCCGAAACAGAGTCACTTGCAAAGCGGAGATGTGTAAATAATCACTGGTATTTAGGGATTGAAACTGTATTAGTGACTCACGGGAAGACGGACTCTTCAAGACATTAAAATCCAAAACGCAAAACCTTTGCAGGATTCTGAGCATGAGAAAAAATACAAAAGAATCTTTAATGAATCATTTAAGGCATAAAGGTATAGGTTACCATG